ATGTCCACTCACACGACTTTCCTACATATCTCAGAAAAGTTTTTATGTCTTTAAATATGTTCATGAAGAAACAAAAAAGAATTGAACTAAATTTATTTTCCTGAAAATTGATCAAACATAAGAATTGAGTACGGTTTATTTGATGAACTAAAGCAATGTAAACCGGCTTAAGGTAGATCAGTGTAAAATTTTCCAATACTTCCTAATATTGCTGATCAAATACTGTTTGCCATAGTTTAGTATTGTCAAAGAATAATTTCTGTTAAAAGTAGAGAAAATAGTGAAGATTGTGTGATGCGGGCAACAGATTTTCTTACTTTCACTTAGTCATCTTCTCTTATTCACCCCTTTTTGACACCAGGATATGAAACCGTAATCTTACATTGGAAATTGAATAGCTGTAACTTCGTTAATAGTTGTCCAAAATGAACGATTATTATATGGCATTGTAGAGAATTTCATTACCTTTCAGACAGACAGACAGACCAATGGCTGTGTTTTATGGACTCAGGGGGCTCTGAAACGTATAGATCCGTCGAAAACCGCATATCGGAAATTTGACTCGGTTGCAATACTTTCCTTACCTAGTATAGGTAGGAAAATAAAAATGCCTATTTTACATATTCGATACTTAACAGCTGTATCAATGATATGTGCAACATGGCTTGCCTATCTTAGACGTCTAGCCATTATTAAATAAACGATATCAGGGTCATCGTTGAGATTTATTAATTAGTATTTTGGTTGAGTAATTTAGTATTTTTAGTTTGAGTTTTAGTAAGTATCTAGCTAGGCCTAGAGAGAGATTTGCTTTTCAAAAGCCTCTATTGGCTGCCATAATCCGCCGTTTAATCTCTGGTTGCATATCATTGGTCGAATTCAGCAAGTATATATTCCAAAGTAAATAATTCAGTAATAAATACTCCAAGTAAATTATATCCCAATAGATTCGAAGTTGAAGTATCCGATTTTTACCCTAGATCCTAGATATTGCCATCTTTTAGGAATGCGGAATATATACTTTATTTTGGATTCCTTCACTTGCATTCTATCTTTAGCAGCTGTTTTTTGTAGATTTAGGAAGGCGCTTTCCATAATCAGAAAAAGGCGTTCAACGGTTTATATTTTAGTACTCACTCCAAATACAGAGAAGTATTTGTTTGATGAACAAGACTTCCTTGTTTCAAAACATTCAAACAATATTAATTGCTAACATTTTGACTTATTTTATTTCGTTCATCATCATATGCATAGTTAATTTTATATGCATATTATGTAATATTTGAATTTTATTTCATTCAATATTTCTCTGATACAGTTTCCTTATTTATAGGCTAATTAATTATTTTAATAATTTTTTTTATTTCTAATAAGTGGCTATTGCCTCTGAATATCGGCCAGTGCTCCTGTAGGTCCTATGTTAGTGCTGTTAGGGATATTACAAGACTTTCATATTCTCGATGCCACTGAATGCATCTGTTGTTTGTTTATTACTATTATTATTTTTTTTATATATGCAAGTAAATTCTTCCGTTTAAGTACGTTAAGAAATTATCATGATATATTTACATATTATCCAGTACTTAAGTACTCAGGCAATTTAATGTATCTTTTATTTTGTCCTTAAAAAAGGTATAATTATACTATTTTATTACTCTACATACTTTTAAGTGTTTTGGTTTTTATATAGCATGTTTATCTAATCCCGTCGTACAATTTCTACCCCCAAACTATTCCATCACTTCCGCCATCTTCTACCCCAAAATACCCGTAGACTCCTAGTTTCCTCTCTCATCTTTCCCCACTTTGACTACAGTTGTGTGGCGTACGATGGCCTCTCGGTGGAACTCCGTGATAGACTCAAAAGAATTATGAATAGCTTCGTAAGATTTGTTATTGGGACCCCGAGACGTTCCCGTGTCTCCCACCACTACGCTGAGTTAGGGTGGCTCTTCCCCACCTTAAGAAGACAATATTTCCTAGTCACATTCCTTTATTAAATCACTAACGATCATCATCCTTCTTATGCCTACAACCTTCTCCGATTTCCGTTCTCAATCCATTCCCTCACTACAAGATCTCGACCCTCTGACCTATACATCCCTTCTCATAGATCTACCTCATTCCAAAATTCCTTTATAGCCCGCTCTGTCAACTTTTGGAATTCGATCAAAATTCGTCATGCCCCCTTCCTATACGCATTTAAAAACCTCCTATTCCAATTCCTCTCCCAAAAACAGTCAGATACCAGCTAACTATTAATACTATATATGTATTGTGTAACAATCATAAAATCATATGATAATATTTGGTAAGAGATAGTACATGCATTTCCTACTATCCACGTAGGAATTTCAATTTTTTTTTTTATTTTATTCAATTATAATTAACTTTTTTTCTTTTTATAAATATATACACATAAAGTTTTTTTATATGGAATGAACTTATTCTATCTCTTTTTCTTTCTTCATTTCTAAAAGTGTATGTTTATGTTGTTCGACCCTTATATATAGTTTCATGTGATTCGTTCATAGTTTTAAGTGATTTGTTCATAGTTTTAAATACTATGCACATAGTTTTATCTGTATAGTATATACCTTATTCACATAAGGTTTTCTTTACTTTTTAGTTTATTTTATCAATTTTATTTATTGTTTCAAACTTTTAGGCCAGTAATATTCTATTCTTTTGTACAATTTTGTTATTCTGAAGGGATTTAGTCCCAGAATAAAGTTTTTTTTTCTATCTATCTATCTATGTAGCGTAGATACTTTCTTGCTTAAAGTGGATTTGCATAAACAAACAGAACCACAACAAAACAAACACAAGTGTCAACTGCTTGACACCCTCTACCTTCATCAAATGTCGCCTGGAGCACTCCATCATCCCGCTGGATAAAGGTCCTTTCCAGACACCCCGGTCCAGGAGTGACAAGTTGAATTAATAGCCCCTGGATAGCTGACAAAACCCACAAACATGGGAGTTTCGAAAGTGCGCTAGCCGGCTTCAGGAGGTAATAACCCATATCTGTCAGCCATCGAGGGCGTCATTGATCAAACGCCGCTTTTCATCTCGCTTGTCATTAATGACGTCTTAGGAATTTACAGCCTTCGTAATGTTTTTTCGTGTTTCCCTTTGTTGATTTATCTCATATCCGATCCTCATCATATTGAGGTATGGCCATATCGATTTCTTTTCCCTGATATGATTTATAAAGTGATCTATTAACTTTCTTTTATGTAGATTATTAGTTGTTAAGTAACATTTTATTGACCTTTTTGAACCTAAATTCCAAAATAACGATCATTCACACCATAGATATGATTTAGACAAGAGTGGGAAAGAGAAAAAACGGTCTCACTCTTTGCGAATATAAATTTACAGAATATTCCGTAGAAAGAAATTTGTATAGCAGATCTCAAGAGTTACAAAAAAATTCATTTAAACAATGGGCCGATTTTCAGCAGAAAAGCAGAAAATCATGATTTTTAAGTATCTTGATTTTTGTTGAATAGAAAGCGATTACTAAAAAAACTATTTTATTTAAGTAATGCAAACTTGCTTCACTGTCAACTAGACAAACTTTGCTACATAAGAAAATAGAGTTTGTCATTCTTAAGATCATTTCATGAGTACTTTTGAACGGTTGAACTAAATTTCTGTTTTTAAAAAAATTATAAATTTCTCATGATTTTTTTGTTATCATTCCTTACCTATCTCTAATCCTTAAAATACCCTCGGGCAGTGGAAGGACCTTGTTCTTTGTATATATTTGTATTTTGAGTTATTCTCAAATAAAGTTTCTTTTCTTTCATAACTTTTTGCCTGAATTTTCGGGGTGATTGGACTATTTTTTCCGTCTGAAGGAGAGGGGACTTTCAAATGGCTCAATCTTAAGATTTGATGAAGAATTGACGATAAAATGGCTGACCAACAAAAAAACACGTTTAATAAACAATATAAACTGCTGCTCTCTCGATCATAGGGACGTCAAGTCGACGAAATGAGATATGTATTCCATGGTAGCACTACAATTAACGCAAGATTGTGTGGACGCGAACCCCATGCCTTGCGTTATCTCGAAAATAGTACGCAGGATAATAAAACGCAGGATCCGATGGTTCCGGATGAACTTTCCGTGTCTTGCTGTACGCATCAAAATCTTCAAGGTCCAATTTGTCCCGCATCAATCTACAGACCTACCACCGTTCCAGTATTGAAGCCTAGCAAAACGTTTGTATCGACTTTATTTATTTTAGAAAGAAAAACAAAAGTGGAAAATACGATTCGCTAACCCCCCGTGAAATTCTGAATCCAACGGTACCCCATTCATGGTATTTGATCAGTACAGGAGCTTATATTTGGTACAAAACCGATTTCGAGCCTTACTGTAATAATATATGTGGGGATATGAACTCCTCTCTCCATCATAGGGATCTGAAGTCAACGAAATGAAATATGTATTCCATGTCAGCACTACAATTAACGCCAGATTGTATCGGCGCGAACTCTTTGCCTTACACATTATCTCGAAAATAGTACGTTTTTGGGCTTAACAACACAGGGCCCGATAGTTCCTTTTGAACTATTCTCCGGGTTTTGGTGTACGTATCAAATTCTTCAAAGTCCAATTTGTCCCGTATCGATCTACAGACTTACCACCGTTCCAGTATTGAAGTCTAGCAAAATGTTTATATCGACTTTATTTATTTTAGAAAGAAAAACAAAAATGAAGATTAAGATTCAAGCACCATGGAATTCTGAATCCAACGGTACTTGAGTATTTGAGTATTTGAGCATGCCAGGAGCTTATATTTGGTACAAAACAGGTTTCGAGCATTACTGTAATAATATATGTGGGGATATACAAAAATCCACTTCAATAACAGGATCTACGTCGATGATAACACGTTCCTCATAACCTTTTATTTTATAATTCAAAACTAATCGATGATGCTTTTTATTGTGATTAAAAACATTTTTATCTTTCTCTGTTACAGATAGAAAGGAGAGCTATACAGAGATACAGCGCTACGATGGCTGGTATAACAATCTGGCACACCCCGATTGGGGTTCAGTCGGTGAGTTCAATTTCATTATTTTGTCTTTAATTTTATCAAGTGTATTTTCCTTAAATAAGCTTCAATAGTTACACATTATTAAAAAAATTTAATAGAATTTATAATAATAACAAATAACAATAACTTTAGTAGCGGATATAACGTAACGTGGCCACATAATAACATAGGTAAAGCGGGATACCATTAACCTGGGGAGGGGAGGTTCTTGATTAAAAATTTGGTTCATTAAGTTTAAACAATAGTTCAAATTTGTTGTTACAATAATTAATTTTACATAATAGTAATCTGGTGCAAATGTTAATCAGGTGAGATAGTATTCAGTTGATATAAGGTTGAGAACTTAGTTCTAAAGGCGTATTTTTGAGAGCGATTAATTTGATGATGTATTTAACCTCTAATTTGTGACTTCAATAATAACACAATATTTAAGGCTTAAATGCTTTGTGCTTATTCATCCATTTATTTCATTATCTATGTCGATGACACATATGTTCTATCATTCAATAATGACTTGTAAATTGCACCACAAACTCTTCAATCACTCATCACAAATCTTGAAGAATGGTGTCCAAACTGATGAATCAAAATATATCCCACCAAATTACCTTTACCCTTTGTCTTAAACCTATGACTTCTTATTCGTATTGTACAGTATGCTTTAACACTACTCCCCCCCCCTTATCCCTTAAAGCGCTCGATGTTTCCGACTGCTTCAACACTTCCTAAATAAACGTTCTAAATTCCCAAATACATGAGTATAATAAGGCCTATTTAGACATATGGAGTTGAGCTTTGGAGTTGCACTAAATCATCGAATCCTCCTCGTATCCCATCCTTATAATACAAAATTCTTCCAAAATCAATACTCTTTACTTTTCACAAATAAAATTATTTACAACGACCTTAATGTTCCATATGTTTTCGAATCGGCCCAGTCCAGATACCTATCTATCCATAATTAATTTCAGAACCATCCTAATCCTCTCGATCCAAACCTTGCTTCCTCTACGATCCTTGATGAACCCCGAGACATCAGAAAAGAAGATGGCCTCGTAATCTCCTAATTTAGATACTTTATTAGAGTGGGTAGATTCTCTACCAAGCCTTGCCATGTTATTTCTCAGTACACATTTACTAGATATATATTTATATTATACAGTTGTAAATTCCATGAATAAAAAAAAACAATGTGCATGCAGTTTGTAACAACCACGTACCTCTTTTTCAAAATGTTATAAACTTATCGAAGGTGACAACATTTCGGTAATCGAATTAGCAAATGATGTTAATTTTCTAATGCCCAAGATTTACCCTTTTCCTTATCACTATCTATATTCAATATATATATATATATATATATATATATATATATATATGATACCTCAATAAGAAAATCATTTTCGAGTTGTTTATGATAATTAAGTCCAAACAACGGTGGTCTAATTCTAACAAATGATCAACAATACGATCTTTTCTACCAGTTTTCGATAATCGTTATTATTATAGTTTAACATCACAAAATTGGTATTCTCTTTGGAAAATGATATTAAATCATGACAAATTCCAATATTGAACATATACACTGTCAGAGACACATGCCCACCAGTTTATATCAGCGACAACCATATTTCTCAGACAGACACTGTACGTTATTTCGGGTTAATATTCGACAAAAGGATGACCTGGGGCCCCATGTCAAAATGAAATGACATACTTTGAACAAGCGACTGAAAATACTATACTCACTTTTTTTCTAAATCAAAATTGAAAATCAGACAAAAACTAACTACATACACTTACAAAATTGGTAATTGGTTGACTGTCGTGGATAATGAAGAGAAGAATAGTTGGGGTGCTCAGTCAAAAAAGGAAGGCAAAAAATAAATTATAATATTTAAAATTATAATAATAATATTAATAATAATTATAATAATTATAATAATAATAATAATAATATTAAATTATAATATTTAAAAAGTAAAAAATAAATATTATAATTTATTTTTTGCCTTCCTTTTTTGACTGAGCACCCCAACTATTCTTCTCTTCACTACATACACTTACCTACTCAAACCCATATGGACATACGCCTCACAAATTTACGGTTCTGCAAAAGATGCCCTTCTGAAAACCAGAGACCTCTCAATCCAAAATTTTACGACTTATAACTGGAGCTCCCTGGTACGTAAACAATAAAACTCAACGACTTACGACAACCAACTATCTACTAACACATAGGTGATCTTTCCTCCCGATTTCATCTTAAACTACACGGACATCACAACGGACTTATTAGCGACATCACCACAGCTGACATGCACATCAGGAGACGATTAAAGAGGAGCTGGATGATTCATTAAAGAATTAAACCAAAACCAGAAAGAGTTCTATCAAGCTTATGACTGGAGTAGATGGAAATATGAATAAAAAAAAAAATTATAAAAATCAACAGAAATAATATAAAACTCATATCTTGGCAAAATAGCCACATGACCACCGAAAACCGTACATTCTCTAGGCGTTCTCCTGCCATTAAATACCTTGTTGTGCATTATTTACGAAAATCTAGACTTTATTAAAACGCCATGGGACACGGGACACATTGTTAAAAATCTGGTGCGGTGCGCACATCACACAATTTTCACTTCCAATCCTCTTGTTAGCAGAAATAAATATTTTCAGACAAAGCGAAGTGAAAGTAAAAATTATAGACTCTATATTTATTTATATTTCATTGTGGGTATTTTTATTTGTGTAAGTACCCTTACAAATTTTAGTATTTTTATCGCTATAATCTATACAATTAAATATTAAATAATACCAACAATATCATCTATGAAAACCGCATATGTATATTCTTCGTTACGATCTCTTATTTCTCATTTAGTTAATTATCAAATTCTTTCATATTTTATATTGAACTATCTTTTATATTAGAGATTAATGTGAAATTTTCATTTTTTTCAAATAAAAAAAAAATAAAGGTACATTAGGGAAGCTAATATTGAAAATTAGCCATTTAAGCCCAGTTAGAATACATCAATCAGCATAAAAACTACAGTTAATTTAAAACTGCTTAATTTTACACTGGTTTAATGAATTTAATCAAAAGCGTTAGAGCTTTATTTGCGTTTAGTCCATTATATAAAGTGCCATTTCCGGTTATCCGATTTTGACGTAATATCCCTAGGATACAAAATCCTCAAATATGCAATTTCACTTGCGTACGACTTTTCCTTTTTGAGCTAGACTGTTAACTCGCTCACAGACCATTTTGCGGGCCTTGGTTATTTGGACTCAGGGTTCCCCAAAACCTGTATTTCCGTTGAAAACTGAGATTCGAAAATTTTCACAATCGCGATACTTTCCCTTACTATACATTTCTTATGTAGGTAAGTGAAAGTAAAAAGCGAGACGTCTGGACAACTTAATATAGAGCCATTTCATAGTACAAAGCACTAATTGTAAACGGATGCTCTCTATAGCGAACGCGGACAGCAGAAAACAGTGATGCTCTTATTTATCTATATAATTAAACTTGAAAACAATAAGCCAATGCCACATAAAAGCTGTTGTTTTATAATTGAATACTAGTTTACGTCATTACGATTTAGACAGCTGGTGACTTAATTATGCCCCTGATGTACATCTGTTATCAGAATTAGCTCCAGAAACCCAAATAGCTTTCCAAGACAAGATAGATGAGGATTACAGTTATCTACTTCGTAGGTAGCAGGCCAGTCGCATATATCATTCTAATGGACTTCGATATCCCAAATACTTTAAATAATGACTGCTGAGAAGTAGCCATATGGTAGGCGATTATTGGCGAAATCCAAAGTGATACATCTGACATAGTGATAATATTTTAGGGAAAGTTTCAAGTTAGATTGCGAACACTCCTAGAATCAAACAATAAACTGATTCCATAGCACATTTCCTTCAACTTTGGTGATTATGTATATATTTTTTTTGTTTATAACTATTTAAAAATAATAAACTATTGGATGATAGTTGGCTGCGTTTTTCATATTTAGAACGCCATTTTGAATTTTATATTTATTTACTACATAAAGTTATTAGTTATAGCAATTTATTTCCATAAATAAAATCTCACTTTTATAGAAAAGTAGCGAGGTACTCCCTGACTGCCTCACAGCGGACAAAGTCCCATTTTACAACTGCATATTTAATTCTACTAGTATCTGCTAAATAAATTGTGTAACTGTAATTTACTTGTATTCTGTACTTCACATTGTATTATTTGTTGTCAACATAAGATAAGCAGAACGAAACCACAATTCGGAAAAATTTAAATTTCTTTAAAAATCTATATTATACATCCCGCTTTATTGCTAAATTATATTATTTTGTAATTGTTGCGAATTTGTAACCATAATAAGAAAGACATAATTAAGATAGGGTTAGATAGATACTCCAATGAATTATGACACTGGAAAACATCCATCTTAATAAAAATGTATTTTATTTTAAACTTAAGTTTTAAATTAAGGTCAAATGTTTTTGACATGCATTATAAAGCAATAACACTTATGAAATATCTACTGACAGTCCCAATTGTCTTTGATGATACGGTGAGTAACCGAACTTAAATTATTTTAAGAAAAGAAAAAGTTTTCTTTATATATACCTAAAACTATTGTATCTTCATACTGTGTTTAGTCAAAAATACAATTTTTATTTTTATTTTTGCCGACGTTTTGGCCAAAAGTTCAGGCCTTCATCAGGGCTAAGAAAATACAAGATAACAATAGGAATGAGAATCTATTAACAGTAAAAAGAAAGTAATAACATCAGAGCTAAGAAAAGACAAAATATCCCCGGTGTATTTTAATGTTTATTATCAAAGTGATGCGTCTGGGAGAGAAGCACTGAGATCTCTTTGAGCCCTGCTTTGCCTTTCACCTGAGAGCGACAAAGCATGGTTCAGAGTTTCCACAGGCTGAATGTAAATATTGTACATAGGAATGAATGTGTCA